AAAATAATCAACATGAATTCCTTTTACTAAAAATTTCCACGAAAATATGGGAAATCTTTCAACACTTTTTTTTTTAATCTACAAATCTAAAGAATACTGCTCATTTTTTGGAGACGCTAGACATGGATAATAAATATAGGATGAAAATTAATAGCTACGATTTTTCGGAGAAAAGTTTAAACAAAGATAGAATTATTCAGTTATCACGTAGAGTTCTACTACCGGTTGAAGCTATCGCAAGTAACAACCGGATGTTTATGATGTAGCTTCTCTAGAGACCGTTAAAAATGAATGAAAATTCTCCAAAACTCATAAAAAATTACGTTTTATTGATTTTAAATTCCTGATAACTCTATTATATTATGTTATTCACTAATAAGAATTCTAACTTTTTCTAAATTCTTACGTTATTATACACAAATATTTCAATATAATTTGCATAAAATATTTCACCATAAAATTATTTTGTTCTATAACAGTTATAATTTTAAAGAAAATAAAATGCTACTAGATATCTTCCCATATTTTCTTAAAATATTTAAATTGTAAATGTTGGGATAAAATGGAAGATTTAAACGAGCAAATGCTTTACAAGAACATTTTTTAATGATCTATTGATGCTAAACGCCTTTTGATCTTATTACTTGAGATTTCTAGAGCGCTTAGATTTTGGAGACTGAAATAAGCTTGAGAAATTCAGAAGAAAGGCAGGTCGAGGGGTCGAATCGCTATCTAATCGTGTGGATAAAGTGTCTTCCAGGCTACATTAAGAATAATAACTGGATAGCACGTTAAAATCAAGACGAATTTCAACTATACTGTTTTAACCTAATTTTTTTTTCTTCTTGTTCAACCAGAAGCACATATCGACAATTGAAATATTCAAAGTAAATTTTAGGAAACTTCAATTTTCTTTAATCAATCTTTATGAAAGAAAACTTCGTAATTTTACAAATATATTAAGTTGACACCGGGAAATTTTTATTCCAATTTTTTCGAAATAATTATTATCTTATAATCTTATTCTATCTTACAAAATTTTATTAAAGTCATGTATACAAATGATATAATACTCGATAAGTATAAATGCGAAAAAATTAATGATAACTGCGGCAAACATGTGTTGAATTAAACGTATTGATAAATAATACTTACCCGACACAATAATTATTGCAAGTAATAGTATTGCAAAAATTGCCTGAGAAAATGCTCGAGCCATTTTTGCTCCTCCCCCCTATCGTTTAAATTTCTTGAACAGAATTTAAGCCATCGGCAATATATTCTGGAAACAAAAAACATTTACTTTTTACAAATAAAATTTATTTCGTCTTTGAACAATAATGGCAAAATGATACTAAAAGCGATCATAGCTGAAATTTTTCTTTGAAGTTCGATGAATAACCAAACTTATCTCAAGGTAAGTCCATTCCAGAAAGATTTGAAATCTTGGAATTCTTATTTTCTTGGAATTCTATAGAGAAAATTTCCTTTGAACGCTGTAGATTTTACAATGTGTTTCTGTCAGTCAGAAAGACTTATGTCTTTCCAGTATCTGATATTTACTATTTTTTTTGAAGAAGTAATGAATCACCACAGTTGTAGATACCCAGTGAAATTTTATTTTCAATGTGTATTTTGTGTTATAAGAGCTTCCCAAAAAACTAGAATTCAAATTTCGTCAGTTTTATATCAATAATATTAGTTGCTTTCACATAAATTTATAAACCTAGTAAACAAACATAATGCTCGCATATTAAACAATCTGAGCAATAAATAAGTGTAGGATTTATCTACAATGTATTAAGAATCACGATGTTTGCCATACATATTTCGAATCGTCAATGAGGCACTTTCGATACAAAGAACCATATTAGCTATTACTACATTTTTATAAACGATAATATATATAAAATTTGTTAGCCTTTCGATTATATAATATTGGCGTATAAAAAGAATCACTACTAATGCACTCCAGTTTTGTAAATGTTTATCGCGCATAGTTCAATGACCAAACGCTTTCGTAGATCTGGAACGTCTGATAAGTTGTTAAATGTTCACGTTCAACGAACATCTTTTTTTTTAATGTTTTAAATTCGAATATTTTAAGTAATGTAATTAAGATCGTCCTAATTCATTATTTTAGCAATATATTAAAAAATACATATATTATCTCCCATATAAAAAAGTATCCTATATTCAAGACAACTTTATATTGAATGTAATAATCACAAATATTGTATATCAGAAATATTGTCTTTGTTATATTATATTCAAAATATACTACCTCTACTATACTACACTCAAATATTACTGCACTTTATTTTATTCGAACTTCCTTATTCCGAAAAGTTTTACAGATTTCCATAAAAACAAATACTTCTTATCAAACCTATATCTTAAATTTAAAATTACAAAACTCTCAATTTGCAATTCTAAAATTTCAAGCTAATTTCTAAATCAATTTACACTTTACATATCAACAATTTCTGGTCATTCGATATTTCTATTCCGAAATGGTACCTATTGTTAAACGTCAAATTCTTCCATGCAATTATCCAGAAGGACAATGTCAACAACTAATATTTGCACAATTTATAAACCGCGTCTAATTAAAATCACACATACGCATTCACATACATATATGCACATAAGCTTTCTTTCGTATCGGTCAGATTTTTAATACATCATTATTCGACAAAAAAAAGCAGTAAGCCGTTATTTCTAAAGTGATGAGGCTTACAGACAAGTAAACGATCCTGATACGGCCGAGAGCGAAGCAGCGTCGAATGAGGAAATGAGAATAGCAAGAACAAACTGCGAGAAACGTCTTACCTAACTCGGTGTATCGTGTATCTCCCTTGAGAGAGTGTCTCGTGTTGTGACCTGGCAGACGCCTCGATAGATCCACGACGAGAATCGAACGACACAAGTAAACTGATTGAGAAGCCAATGATCCAGAGTGCACTCGATCCCCGCGATACACCGTTCCGATCAATGAGATGAGGAATGGACGAGAGACAAAGTCGTTGTGAACGCCTCTGGTGACGCGCCTCTCTCACGGTGTTTCTCGGTTAAGGAGAACCTCCGACAGTGGCCAGTGCCGTACGTAGAATGAGGTCCCTTCTTTGCCGGCTCGTGACGAGGGTGCTGACACAGGCTGAGGGGCAAAGCGAAGTTTCTTAGAACGATACCGGAGTAGGGGAACGAATGCGGGGGCGTCTATCAAGCAAAGGTTTACTTAGGGATTAGCCGCTTGCAATAATTTTATCTAGAAACGAGGAGACTCGTTTTGTTTCTCTTTGTTTATTTGATAGATTAAAGGATCCTAAACGAGATTAAAGGAAAGGTTGAATTGAGAAAGATGAACGAAGTGATTCACCGGTTATTATAGTTGGCTTAGACTTAATGGCAAGTCAGAAAAGTTGTGTATTTATTAGTTTCGAGGATTCCATTCGTGGGAATTGATGTATTAAGTTTTTAATTAGAGGTCTGAGAAATTGTTTTGTGAAAGGTATTTAAAAATTCTTTAAAAATTTATATTACATACACATTTACATTTGTGTATATTTTAGATATTTTATATGTATATTTATTTTATTTTGTACCTTGAAAGTATTAAAATTAATAGAATCTTTAACAATAAGGCGATATGATCTTTAAAATACCATAATTACTGTAAATTATTAATTTCAGACTACGTACATATGTATATTGAACAAGCTTTTGGTAAACCATCGTGTTCCGTTTAGCCCATCATGCATTAAGAGAAACAGCTTAATTTATGGCACCCTCAAATGTCTTCTCTTTTTCTTCTTAAAATCGAGGGTGACAAAAGTTAGACGATCGCTCCAAGCGTCAAGGTTTTTTTTATATATACATACATATATGTATGTACATACATATGTACATATGTACATATATGTATGTATGTTAAGAGGAAGAGATAAGTTATTGTTACTTTAAAACTGAAAAACTAGATTGTCTCTGTGTAACAAAAATTATATTCGGGCATTAGTAATACGTAAAAAGTTATCGTGTAACAATGCAAAATTATTGCTGATATAGTAGTATATGTACATACATAAAAGGTACATAATACATAAAAGATTGCTGTCCTGTGATATTCACAAGGCGTTGTGTCGCGCTGCGGTGTCCATTACATCAACCAGTTGGCTACAGTTCACATGTGCAGCACACTTGTATTCCGTTTCCTTTATTTCTTTTCGCTTCGGTTTATATCTGGCACACCAAACTGTTGAAACTGACTGACTGACCAGTATCTCGGTTGTTGGCTATAATCGGAGGTCTTTTCTACAAAAACGACTTAGTGCAATCGTTTGAGAAAGTCCCCTCCTCCTTTTGAATTTAGATAGAATTACAAATATCTACGATTCTTATAACATATTAAAATTAATTAAAATATTATGCAGATAGTATTGATAAATCTTTAGTATCTGCTGCCCAAGGTTATATAAAGGTTATATAATAAATTGTTTAAAATTGTATCTTTTTAATCTGCCATATTTTGAAATATCGACTAATTTTGTTTTAAGTTCAAAATGGAACAAGAGTACAATGACCTTTATAACAGAAGTGCAGTAATGAAGTAGAACTCGTACACGCGAAATGTGACAAACGAATGTGATCATCGAAAAGGAAGGAAGAGTAGTGTGGGCTGTGTTATCACTATAACGTATCCCGGTTATGATAGTAACGTACGATTGTCTCCTCATTCTTGCCATTTCTCTTTTACATGTCTTCCCTATTCTTTTTTTTTTTTTTAACTAACACACCGACACAGAATCAACGACTAATAAATCACCCATACATTCGATAATTAATTTTTAAAAGAATTCTCTGAAATATTTATAATTGATATAACAATTCTTTGAAAACTGTTCAAACGTACAAATAACATTCAATAATAATAAAATTATTATTTTAATTGGCACTAAAACAAATGTAACATCTTTATTTCGTAAAATAAAAATTAAATTTTGTTTGTGTTATACATTTTTTTAATAATCATACAAAATATAACAAAAACATTAATGTGTAAAAAATATAATTTTATTACAACTTGGATTCATTAGTAGATTCATTAGGAGATTCATTAGTAGATTCATTAAGTAGTAGGTCTATATAGGCATTTGCTATCAAATCTTCATGTTTTATACCTAATTTAGACATTAAGTCCTGAGCAATCTTCTCACCACTTTCTATATCCTGTTCATCAGTCAAGACTACCTAAAATAATGACACTACTATATTATTTTACAGGTGCAAATGTGTAATGATCCATTCATTGTGGTTCTACGAACCTCTAATTCCAAAAAAGTTCCTAAACCTTCAACATCATCAATATGTACACGAGTTTGACCAATCATATACAATTTTCTAGTCTTTTTTACAATGCCTAGACGACCATTTGATGCACTTAAAATATTTCCGACATGACTACAAGCAGATTTGTTTAGGGTTACTTTTTCATAATCGCAAAGCTTTGGACCAAACTTATTAGATCTTCTGTAGTAAATTAATTCTCCTGAATCATCCTATGTGAGAAAAATATTTATCTTATTACACAATTAGGTGATTGTTAACATCAATAGTAGTAGTTATCCTCTCATATTTTACTGTGTCATTGAAAGCATCGTCATTGCTTTTTAACCTGTTTTATCTTTTGCATCTGGTTTTAATATATATTTCTATCGAATTGATAATTACTGTTATATGAAGAGGGAAGGAAATAGAAACAGGAATTAAAAAATGTATAACTATTTATTCTCTAAAACCTTGTATAATAAACACTGTTATTTATATGTATATAGTTTATATATATACATATATATACATATATATACATATATATATGTATATAGAAAAATAAGAAAGTAACAGTCCTATGTAAAAACGTAATTAATTTCTTACTTGGAATTTTCGTAATTTTAATCTTCCTCCTTCCTTGACTTTAAAAAAAGTATCATACTGTTTCATGACTTTCACGATACTGTTCTGCTTTGTTAATTGTACAACTCGAGAAATCTTAAGGTCTGGATCATCAATTTTTGCTTTTATTTCAATATTACGCATTGTTAATGATTTATAATAATAATTATTGTATTTTGATATAAATCACTCGCGAATACTGGTTTTGTATACTACTTTTGTACTCGATACTTAAACTACCATAGACGAAGCATAAGATAGATCTATCATTTAACAGCTCAACACGTACATTGCGTCACATGATTCAAAGACTAGCCAAACTGTTACCATTTTCGTATCACTTCCAACATTACCGATCTAACGCAGAGTAAGTTTAATTTATCACAGAAAAGATATATTTTTTTATATAAATGACATAAAACGATATTCATTTTACCAATTTCAGTGGTAGGATATATACATATATATGATTATCTATATAAATATAATTATATATATATAATATAAATAATATATATATAATTTATTAAACGTAAATTTGTTATATGGTCCGTGTTTTGGTTTCCATGATATCAAATTATACGAGATGCTAGATCTATGCAGTACATCGTCTATGATTAAAACCTAACCAATATCTCTCTACCAACATAAACTTAGCTAAACAATTTGAAGATTTGAATCAAGACGAGATAAAATATGAATTTAAGTTTGAAAATTTAAAAATTTGAGTGGGAGTTTGTAATCAACGTATTAACCTTCTCCTTCTGACTTCTAAGCATTTAATCCGAAATAGAATAAATGAATCGCATCGCTGTAAATGGAATAAACTAAACTAAATGAACTAATTAACAAAATCAAACACATACCAAATTAAGGTAAAAGCAAAATAGTAAAAGAAAATAGAAAAGTAAAAAATTCAACAACCACAAAATTGATACAGTTATCATTATCAATTTAATATGTTATAGGCGACGTTATTCTTATATTAAATATTATGTAATATACAATGATGCGCTTGAAAATGATTTTGCTCTAAAGGAAACGTAATGTTAAAGCAATCTTTTACGTTTGCTAATAGACCTTATTGTTTCTTTCTTTCCGCTTAGATCAGCGGACGAACTCCTTTTAAATTCAATAATTGTATGTATTATGGGTATTAGTTTAAAACTTTTTTATTTTTTTCGTACCTTTAAAAAACTAGCAAATAATTAATAGCATAATATATATAGATTGATTGGATCTCTATATTCCACAATAGGTTGTTTGAAATTTTGGTTAAAATTTTATTTCATTCAAAGTGCGAAAACAATCGTATTAACGTCCTTAATTTTTTATCGAAAGTATGTTATCGTTAAAATAAATATCGTATCGAGAAAACTAAAACATCGATTTTAATCGATCGTGGTGAGTATTCAAAACGATATCATATATCGTTTTTATCAATCAGTTTTTTAATGAAATGAAATAGTAGTAATATTAAATTAAAAATGGTAGAAATTACCGCAGCGTATATTGTTTTTTCTTAAATATAGAACAGGGATGTCTATTTTCGCGTCACCTTTTAACTCTTTGAGGTGGCCGTGTTTTAGTGAGAGATAAAAGAGCGGAAAAAATGCATTCTCAAAATCCTTGAGAACATAGAAGACTGATCCTCAACAGCAACGCAATTTTTAATATTTAGGACATCCCTCAACGTATTTTAAACGTAGAATAAATAATGAACTTTTGTTCGAGTTCAAATATAGTAACGGTAATCCGATAATCGCAAAAAATTGAAAAATTAATAAAACAAATATATTTGAATAAAAATTGATTCGTAAATTTTTTCGTAATTCGAATTATGAGATCTTTATTTTTATGTTTACATTTTTCCGAATTTGTTACGCGTTATAAGTTTAAATAAATGAATGCATCTTGAATGTTTCTCAACCTATTGGTTTTAACAGTATTACACATACTATCAATCATAAGTTCGATACCACCTCTTAAGGAATTAGTTTACAGAAATTTTAACAATTCACGCGCAGATCTATCTGTTACTTAAAGAAGAAAAATTCTTCCTACTTCTATTAAAACGACCACTTTTAACTGTGTAATTTCTAATCTACATGCACTTCAAACGTACCTGTCTTTGAATTCTAGTGCATTATTATTATGTGTCTCATTGCTCAAAATAATAATTAAATCGAATCAAACTATACTGCATATATATACTGCATGCAGGTAAACAATAATTACTTGTGATTTGTAAATATAGCTGTTTACTTACTATCCTTCAAATTGTAATACTGAAAAAGATAGTGTTAATTCTATATCACCAATATGTATAATTAACTTATATTTAGATTAATTTTATATTTTCCAGGGCCCCCTCCGCAACGCGCATGGTACGACCATCGTGGGGTTTTAGTCGGTAAGTCCGACATTACCACGCGGTCCATGAGGAGTTCCCCGCGTAAAAAAAAGTTGATTTTATATTTATGATGTACTATTTGCGTGTGTGTACAACTAAAACAAGAACTTTAAGAAAAACCATGAAATGTCTGAAATATTAAGAAATATAATATACACTTTAGAAAATATAAAAACTTTTATGATAATAGATAAAGGTGGTAATCGGAAGTAAAACTTATGATCCATAGTATAGATAAACAGTAAAAAATTCAAATATAGAGCTGCATAAAGTTTATGACAGTCAGAAATAAATTTGGGCAACCCTTGTACGAAAGACCAAAAAGAGAAAATCAGTATGACACATTTACGAGTAAACGTCATCATATTTCGGCCGGAGTCATAAATATAGTATTGTACCAGTTTTCTCAAACGAAACAAGTGTTCTGCTACGTCTATTTGCTGTACAAGTGCGTTCAACGCATAGCGTTAATTAAAAGTCTTCGAACCAGAGTTATGTAAAAATCCGTAAATACTGGAGATTTGAATTAGGTTAAATAACGTACTAGAAATCCATAATTCTACAATTTTTCGACATTTATGCATAACTGATTCGAATCTTTCTATTCGAAACGTTTAATTTAAGTCCATTTTACGTTACGTTTCATTCAATGTTTCCCGTATTTTTGTGAACGTTTTTAGTACTGCATTCTCTTCTCTTTCTCCTTCTTCTGTTTAATATCATGACTACATTATACATATATATATATATATATTATATATATTTATATTATATATAAATATAAATAATAATTTATATTAATTATTGTAATTTATATTTATATTATATATAAATATAAATATATATATTATATTGTATATCTAGATTATTTATGTATATAGATATGTATCTATAAATGTAGACTATATATATATATATAGTCTACATTTTTTATTCATTCGTGCCACCGCGATAAAATTTCGCTAAGAAAGATTTAGAGTTTAGAATTTTATTCTATAACAATTTTGATATTTTTTCATCGAAGTTTCTGAAACGACATGTATTCACTTAAATTCCGTATTTTGCAATTACCTTGATATCTTAGCACTGTGACATACACGGTAAACATGTTACAAATAATCTCGGAAGCAAAAGTTTCAAAAATTACAACGAGACGATCAAGCTTTCTCGGAACAAGGATATTCATTACAGAAACGTTTTAGCTGTAAAGATATGAGAATAATCTTGAATAATATCTTCCCGTATTTGATAACCATAGTTAATAAACGAAAAGACAGCGAGCAGAATGTAACGATTTTGTTACAACACCTGTCCACTGTTAATTTACTAGTTAGTTTAATTAGATTTACGTTAGCAATTGTACAATTATCAATTATTAACAATTAATTCAGCGACATTTATCACCAATGATTAAGTTCTTACAACAAAACACGTGTTATCTTTTAACAATAGTATAGTTATAAATTTAAAACAATTTAATAGTAGATTCTCGAATATTTTAATATGCTTTCTCAATATTTCACTTTTTGTAATCTAACGTGAAACGATTGTGAAATTATTGAACAGGTCAAACGGTGCATTCAAACAGTTCCATATTCCACTTATCATGAACGAATATATATGCAAATTCTTCGATACAGTCATACAGCCTTTAATATTCACTCAGACGCATCGATCACCGTTGACTACTGTTTCACGTATCTTTTTTCTCTTTTTTTTCTTCTCCTTTCGTTCGCTCGTAATGAAAAGGATAAAACAGCGTATTAATCGATGCCTTTAAAAGAATACAATTAACGATCGCTTATTTTCTCGTATCACTTTTCTGCCGTTATTTTGTTCTCATTTTCCTTTGAGTTACGATTCGATAAATGAACGCACAGTTTATATTTGTAATCAATGGATTTTATTATACGAAGTATATATCACGTGTATTCATTAAGTAGAGTGGGTTGAAAATAACGGTGCAATGGAGAAGAAAGTCAATTTTTGTCCACAAAGAAAGAGTTAAGTTTGATACTTTTTACTTCCATTCAAACATAAACTCTATAAAATTATATATACAAGACCTCAACAATTTTTCCGATTTTTAGATTTTTCAAAATACTTTGAGCAACGTTCCCTTTTTATAAGAAGAGAACGCTTTTGTTTATTGCTTCTACACGTTCTTCTTCATTGTACCAAGATTCTTCCATCTACTCTATGCAACTTGAAACCCTCGATCTCTACCACTGTTCTATCAATTAGAGCAACGACCTGAACAAAAACAAGCATATCAATGAAGATTCACTTTCAGAATCGACTTTCGATCTGTAACACTTTCTCAATCAAAACATTGTATTCGGCCGTATCCTTGAAGAATATAGCTACGATCAGAATTCGTTTCAGTATCTTCTTCCAGCGTCGTCTCTTCCTTTTCGTCTGATATCTCGTTTTTCAACATCGACGTTTCCGTTTCTATTTGTTCGAGCTCGTTGCAATCGGTTTCCACGATAGCTTAAATGTACTCGGCGAACATTATCCAGTAAGTTACATTTAATACGGCGAATAAGAAAGGGAAGAAGACACGCGAGACTCGATCGATGTTGAGGGCACGCATTCGCGCCCTTTGGGCAGGTGTAGGGCCTGGCGGTGGACCGGTTGTCGATTTCTGCGATCGGCCGGATAATAATATTGTGTTCTCCTGCGTGATAACGATCGCAACTTGAACTGCCGCTGTGCAGACAACGCTTCTGTGCCTCGGAGCCGCGGAGAGATGAACGCGTGGTCGATAACGCGGTGAAATAATTTTCGTACCTTCTATAGAGGAGCCTTCTAATTTCTTTCTCTTCTTTCTCTTCTTCACCGCGCCAATAAATGTTGGGCTAAGTTAACTTCAATATACTTGAAAACTCCCTAGAGTTCAAGAGTGATAGGAACTTTCTCCGTTTCACGGACAGCACGACTTTCTTTGTTTTACGAACAGCCATTTTGAGAGACGCTCATTTCCCAAACAGACGGTCAGAGGGCAATATCAGAGATAGACAAAATCATAGAAGAAAGAGTAATTATTCAAAACATTAAGGATTGATGGAGAAAGATCGGTAGCTCAGGACGTTGAAAATCGATTCTCGATTTTCAGACTTCAGAATCGATCACCTGAATTACCACGTGATTAACGATCTTACATACTTTTTTTTCAAAGTTGCAGATGTTAACATAAAATTGCTCTAATATCTCTTTCGTAAAAGCACGATCAAGTAAAAAATATCATTGTATCTACATTTTATGATTCTTAAAGAAGATGACTGTGTTTTAGCTATCGATTTGAATCAAAGTTTATTTAATTTCAAAGTTTTTGCAAAGTAACAAGCTTCTTCAAATAATTGTAAAAACTACTTACGTTAGAATTATCTTTAAAAATATCCAGCAACTATCTGTCTGGGATGTTATTTAAGACACGATAAAAAGGTATCAACATTTGTTGTAAAAGATGATACGATGGACGTAAAACGTTATAAATTTGGATAAATCAACTTTCTTTAAGCCAATCATATTTTCTACGCAATTTTCAGAAACGCAAACGATAGAACGAACTTTTATCCTCTTTCTCCGAGGCACAGAAGCTGTCTGAGTCATTTAGATGTTCATCCAGGCGTTACCTTAGTAGCGATGTCGAAAATTTTATCGAGCTTTGCGGCATCGGTGCCGCTGGAAGATGGCGGCTGAGGCGGGGACGCTGGTTTCGGAGGCGTATCCGAGTCGCCGAGGACGATGTTGACCAAACAATACTCCATCAACGCCATGAACACGAAGACCGTGCAAACCGACATGAACGCATCCACGGCCTTTAAGTACGAAACAGGAGGCAAAGAAGCTTGACTCTTCGCGTGTTGCGTCGAAAGGGTCAGCAAGGAAGTTACACCTAGCGTTACCCTGGCTGGCGCCGCTTCCGGTTTTATCCAAAAGGAAACCCACTACGCAAAATATAAGTAACTGATTTCGAAACAAAGGTAACGTTATAAATGTTAGAGAATTAATAGGAAAAGTATTAAAATAAATGATAAATTGTCCTCGTAAGAGTTAGAAGTTAAATGAAGTATAATTAAGATCGGATCAAAAGTTTGAAATATGAAGAAAGAGATTATATCTTTAAGAAACAGATCGATTAGTCTATATTTAAATACGACAAAGTAAGATTGCAGGATTGTAGAAATGAAATAAAAATCAGATTAATTATTATAGAAAAAATATCTAGGATGTTAATAATTTTAAAAGCATAGTGTGTTCTATGATAACAGAAAAACAAGACATCTTTTATTATCCGTATTTCAACTTCGAACTTACCGACATGATAACGATTAGACAGGTAGGAACGTAAGTATGAAACAAGTAATAGCCAAGTCTACGTTTCAAGACGAACACTACCTCGAGGCAAGTGAAGTTACCTGAACATTAAAAAGTTTCAATTAATTCTATTAATTCATCTACGCTCGACTCTGAACCTTTCTTAATAACGCGAAGACACGCCAAACATCAACATTTATTCACGAACAACACCATTCACACGAAAGTCACTTTCAAGCGAAACTGATTCTTGGTTGACGTTCCTCTTCGATTTCGATTTAAAACAGTTAATTAGGAAGGAAAAGAGCGTTCTTTCTTCCATGGCTAAAAACGACATCGACACGAAGCGTCACTTACCAGTAGAGTAGACTTGCGTGCAGTCGGCCGTGTAATTCTTAACCAGTTGCAGCTGTGGCAGCTCAATGTTTTCATCGACGACGAGTGGCACGTCAGGATCCCATTGGAAGATCATTTCATCCGTCGTGTGCGATACTGTTGACCGAGTTGTTTTGTCCTCGTGAAATGGCACGGCATTCACTCCGTAAAATTAAAGGAATATTCATGCAGGTCTACGGTACCGTTCCGAAATGAAACACGATTGTCCAATCTCCTTTGACTCAACTCGATTGTCGCTAATATTGGACGTCTTTCGAGGACTTTTTTACACTATATCAGCGACACCGCATTTTCTATCGATATCTATCGATCATTTTCCATGTTTGATGCTTCAAAGACGTGACTATGTTTTAAGGAATCGTGACGAATTGGATGGAAAATTGGAACGCGGATAAAAATGTATTATCGAAAAGTGGAGATAAAGTAGACTGTGTGATAATAATAGAAGGAAATCGTAAAAAGTGTAAGTTGAGTATGGAAGAAACTGTAATGAATTAAATGGTAAGATTAGAGCAAAGATGATGAAGACCAATCGTTATGAAGTGAGGATAAAATAAAGTGTATGGTATCGATGGAAGATATAAGAGGAAGTTGAGCTAACATTCTATTTTACTACAGATAAAATATAAAGTAAAGGATTTAGAAGTTGATATAGAGGGAAAGTGTCACTCACAGCTTTCCATTTGTAATTTACACTCTTGCGTGTCGTGAGGATAGATCAGGAAGTTCATGGCACAGGATAACTTCAGCGTTAATCTAAAACATCGTACAAAAATTTTGTTTCTTTAATGAAGAAAAAGAAGAGACAGAGGTGAGAAATAAAAGCTTTCTAATCAAGAGCTAAAACAAATTATACTACTATTACTACCATTGTAAAAGTAGAATAAAAATGATCGACAATAGTATTGAGAATCTTGGAGCTTTTGTTTTCTTACTTGACCATGTATAAAATAGTCTTGTCTTTGTACAACCATAAGTAATGATTCGGTATAGTCATCGTTTGAAAAGTCACCGATTTGGCATTCTTGAAGAACGAATCCGGCCGCCACATATTCTTCAACCAATCGACTTCCAGCAATCTTGAACGATACATTTGATCATTTTTCACGTATATTTATGAAGCACAAAAAAAAATAGTATAAAGAACACTATGCCTAAAAATATTTTCCTTTAACTGGAATTTTCGACTAAGAAAACAATATTTTTTAAATTAAATCATGATAATTCCACATACCTGTATTCAGATGTCATATTTTCTGGCAACCGTAGTCTGTTATCTTTCCAAGTTTGAGCGAAGAATATATCAGCTGCGTAGGTCTGCAAAAGTAAATCACGAAAATCGACATATCAAAGTTTAATATCAATTACCCATTAAAGTTTAAGTACTCTAATTTCTTTTGTGAAACAGAATATAGCATTTACGATTAAAGTAAAAATTTTGAAATCATTTCAGCGATATAAAAATTAATCTCTTTAAACTTGAAATCATATCCATGTTAAGGCCATAAGCAGTTTGAGAACGATATAATGGTTAGTGAATTTAAAAAAGCCTTTTAATTTAAAAATTGCACCTTACCATTGAATTCTCATCTATGGAATCAAGACCCATAACAGTAACATGGAAATAAACGATAGTCGCCTGTCCATCTTTCTTTGGCGGTCGCATTTTATCGTACAGTTTAGGATCTTCCGGCAGCAGATCGAAAAACTCCAAACTCCTCCTGAAATTTCGGGTCACAATTTCAAAAAGTTCAGACATTTTGTTAATCGAATCATATAATCTATGTATAAATTTCCACATAAATATTTTGTGTTAATAGTAATCCATAAATCAGAATTATCCTCATATCTTGTTAGCACCAAAATTTTATAACGAAACAAAATCTTAAGCGATTTTTCTCGGATTCACTTTCAGAAATTTGTTTCACAAGCGTTTCACTATTTTCTAACTTGCAGTTTTCTAGCGTCGCGAAAGAAAAATGAGATTTCACTGTATGTTTCAATGTTTCTTAACACACTGTGTACAAAACACACGAAGCGAAAAATTACGACTGAAATTCATAAAAGCTCAGAACTGCTTCTCCACACTCTCTCGCGTTCGTTTATTATGCATCGTTGATTATCTTTTTACCGTTTTTAACACTTTGCTTTGCGACACTTTAATATCATACACATATTTGCACAACTATTTGGAATTATCGTAGGTATTATCAAATTATTTTGACATGAACAACAGTTTTATTACACGATACACACTGCGCTTTATCAACTTCACTGCAATTTTGTTTAATACTTTAAACTTTTACTTCCGAATTTCTTCGAAAGTATCTCAAATTCTTCGTGGTGATTTCATCGGGTTTGGAATCCTTTGCTTGCGGTATTCTGAAGATTTCATATACCGACTAAATATAATATTTTATTTAAATTTGAAAAAACATTTAGATGCCTACATTAATAATTTTTATGTATGTATTATTGCTATTTTTTCATTGGGAAATGAATAATTGAGAACATGATATAACTAAAGGAAAATTCATTAGAAGTAATCAAAAAATATCTACATGTTACAATTTCCTGAATATTATTCTGAATATGAAAAAATTGATATTTTGCTAGTAAACAAAAAGCATTACAATTTTGTTCCAGATTGTCTATCGAAAAAAACCTTATTAGAACTAAAATTTTACTCAAGGAAATAACAAAAATTTCCACTTAGAAAACCAACAAACTCTAAGACACGAAAAAAATATAACTGCAAAAACAACGGTATTCGGTATAGTTATTGCATCTTTGCGTCAGAGAATCCTACATTTGTGGGGAATATTTCTTACCAACAATAAATTTCCTACGAACAAATTACTCGTAAAACAAGAAAATTCTACAATTACGTCCCTTCAACGAGATATATCGTTAAGATGTTGGAATTCCCGACAATGTTGCTACAAAGATATAAACCGAAGGAGAGGATCTGGCCTTGCGGAAGAGCTTAAGATGGCCGGCAATGTCGATTGTAAAAGCGGAAGAGGAAGAGGCCATCTACGGAGAAGAATCTTACTGAGCGTCTGCGGTGCGTCCGAGCAGGAGAAGAAGCACGATCGAGGAAAGGATTGCGGAAACCATGCTGCCTCCATGCGTCTCATCCATCGACATTCTTCGTCGATCAGCTCTCAGCGCATCTTCCTTGTGGCAGAAGCGGAACGAACCAACAGCGAAGCGGAAAACAGCGAAAAAGGGTTCCGGACAGGAGAGACGACAGACGAACAACGAGGAAGAAGGCGAGACGGAAGAGAAAGGAGAAAAGAACGTTGTTTGCGGCAGCCCCTGGCTAGAAGACAAGGCGGTTCTCAGTTGGTGACAGTGACTGCGATTCCTTTGCTTCTTTCTTCTCTCTTCCCCCGACCGCTATTCCCCGAATCGCGAGGACGTACAACCGTCGACTGACTTCTTCAAACGACTTTGCCGAAGCTGCAGAATCCTCATCGTTGCTTCGTAGAGAGGCAGAGGTGGAGGTGGATGCTCGATGGTAGCGCGGTGGTGGTAGCGATGGAGGTGGTGGACCAGCAAGTACCACCGGAGGTACATCCCAATATACCTCGCCGCCACCCCGCCGTTTCTTCCTCTTAACTCGATACAGAGGGATGAAGAAAGGGGAAAGAAGGGGTAACTCTCTCTCGCGAGCTTGGTGACGTGTACAGAAAACGAAGACAGGGGTTGGAAAGGGTCGAGAAAGAGAGAGTAACGCGCGAGGACCGACGTGTTGAAAGAAGTGGTGGTAATCCCCGGTGGGTCCCTAAAGCGTTACGAGATGGTTCCGACGACACGAATTTACTCCAATGCGGCATGTCCGTGACATCCTCCGCTTTAGATAGATGCCGTAATCGCGCACAACTCGCAACACACTCCACCACCGCATGTTAATTGCCACGATGAATACTGCGAGGTAATAATAACGCACCGATGAATAAGGGACCATGCGGAATTCGCACGTGTTTCGTTCACCCGCATCGCGTCGTTACATCATGATGTCATTACATATTTTTCTTCTCAGTAGACTTGTTTCCTGGAATTTTAAACAGCACTTGGGATTTAATGCTGTTTACAGAAATTATTAAGCCGTTGATAGAATAGCACAAATTAATTTCTCACACTCACTTTCTATTCTATTCTCTGTTCGCAAGAACATCATACTTAAAAGCAACACGACAGAGGTGTCAGTGGAACAGTCAAATTGTTTTTCATTGCCGGAGATTCATTAGCAGAATTCATTCCACACGATGAAAACGTGTCTATTCGCTAGGTTTAGAATACTCCACGGAGAAGCGCGTAACGAGTGGTGAAGAACAGAATATCAAGCACAGCTTTCTTTGATGTGGTTGCAACCTAAGGACGTGTACATGCCAAAACCACCCTTCGTTTTCTTACGTTTTCTGATAAGATCTCTAAGACGAAGAAGGGTTAGGAAGAAAACGTTTAATGTAATTAACGAAAAATAATTTTTATTCGATATTTTGAAATTTCATATACAAAATATCACCAAAACGAACCAAATATATTAGAAATATTATAAAACCATTGAAATACTCAATCTTCGAATTGCAAAGAAGATTTAACTACGACACATATTTTTTTTTTTAAATAAAAAGGTAATTACAGACTTCGTTCAAAGGCCAAGATCGTGAATTTTGCTTGATGCATACATGCATTCTTAATCTCAAAATAATTAGAAAAAGACAGATTTCCATAATTGATACTTCGAACTCTCCAAAACGACTGCTACGCGATCATCAAAAATCAAAGATCTGATAATCGACAGAACGAACCTAATGAAAAATTGAAAGACCAATCGAAATTACGATGAAAACACGGGCAGGAAGAAGAAGAGAAGAGTGGAGAGGAAGCACGTCATCGTTGACGAGAGGAAGAGAAAGCAGAAGAATCGAGGTGGAAAGGAAAGGAATGGGTCCTGCAATCTCTCCTCTCGCTCTCGCCACCCTCCTTAAGGGTGACTCTCAGAGACGTTAACTACCGTGCTATTTGAAGACATTGTCGTCGACCAACGGGACATGCCGCTCGATATATCGATCCTCGAAAATTGTGCCGCGAATAGAATGCTACGTGTTCGCGTCGCTCGTACATCGTGAAGTGGTCGCTCTTCGAGAAGATATATAGACACGCATGAGCACTCTCGCGCGCGCACACGTACACATGTTCACTCACTTTCCCGAAATTATGTATACAATCCCGTCTATAGTCACCGGACACTTACGAACTTTAAATATAAACTTTCCTAAATCAGACTTATCATAGAATATTCAAAGTATAATATATTTTCGTTTTTCCTATAATACACAGGCTTAATGAGTTTCAACGTCATTTAATAATTGAGGGATTCGGAAGAAAAGTAATACAACTGAGGAAATCCGTAGTTTAAGAAAATCCTAAAATTCAATTTTGGAAGGAAGTTAAATAATTAACTTCCTAAAAAGTATTACGGACACTAAAACGTTTCATATAAAAGGCAGAATAGATGCACTTTTTGAATGTTGTGTAGGAAAAATAACGACCTTGTTCTTAAAAAGGTGAACATAAAGTGATGACTTCGGGATAGGGACAACGACGAGCGTGCTTTAGGCTATTGATAACAATGCAAAGTTTCTGGGAATCATTGATAACGATCGGGGCCACTTTTGATGTCGTGCCACCCCTGCAGAGAAGTGCATTTCTATAGTGAGATATACCGCAGGTAGCTCTATCTCCTCGAGTTTCGACACCTATCTCTTTCTCGTCACTTAATATTTCCCGCTTCCTATTTTATCTTTTACACAAGAGGATTCTAAAAGGTAATACTCTATTGTTAATACTTCAGGCTTCCAATAAATTTCTAAATCCCATTGTTAACGACCAATAGAGACATCGTTATGGAAATATATTTCACAGCAGGTGTCCACGAAAAGACCACGCATTTATATACAGGGTGGTTGGTAACTGGTGGTACAAGCGGAAAGGGAGTGATTCTACGCGAAAAAAGAAGTCGAAAATATAGAATAAAAATTTTTTTAAATTTTTTTTTTTTTAATTTTTCCATCGAGACAACGATCTACAGTGAGATCCGTTATAACGAAACGTGATAAAGTGCACGCGTACCGAGCAAAAATTCAAAGTCGATTTTCTCGAAAACAAAGCCTCAAACGAAAAATTTTTATTGTATATTTTCGACTTCTTTTTTCGCGTAGAATCATCCCCTTTCCGCTTGTACCACCAGTTACCAACCACCCTGTATATAAATGCGTGGTCTTTTCGTGGACACCTGCTGTGAAATATATTTCCATAACGATGTCTCTATTGGTCGTTAACAATGGGATTTAGAAATTTATTGGAAGCCTGAAGTATTAACAATAGAGTATTACCTTTTAGAATCCTCTTGTGTAAAAGATAAAATAGGAAGCGGGAAATATTAAGTGACGAGAAAGAGATAGGTGTCGAAACTCGAGGAGATAGAGCTACCTGCGGTATATCTCACTATAGAAATGCACTTCTCTGCAGGGGTGGCACGACATCAAAAGTGGCCCCGATCGTTATCAATGATTCCCAGAAACTTTGCATTGTTATCAATAGCCTAAAGCACGCTCGTCGTTGTCCCTATCCCGAAGTCATCACTTTATGTTCACCTTTTTAAGAACAAGGTCGTTATTTTTCCTACACAACATTCAAAAAGTGCATCTATTCTGCCTTTTATATGAAACGTTTGAAACATAATAGTTTTAAAATAAGGGAGGAGGGAGATATTATTTCTATCGAAAGACTGTTATTTAGAGTAGAGAATTTAGTATGCATATTAGAAGTAATTGGAACCACCGATGTAAAATACACTTATTCATCAGCGATACATCTCCGTATTTCCGGAAATGTTTTTCATTCGAAGTATTAAATCGTTCTTATTTTTCAGCTTATAGTCAAATAATCATTACATATAACTATTCTCATTAAACGAATGATACTGATATTATCATTAACAGTGGAGGATAATCAAGATCAATGTTCTACCTTAAAATGACACTTCTTTACCACGTGACACGTGAGGAAGAAGCTGTGTTCGCTCTCATTAGTATATACCATCACAATTAACGACATGAGTTTCCTCAGAAATCCTGATACTCTTCGTCTACGTGGAATCGTAATTCACGTTACGATAATGTTTACGAAAATTCCTCCCGATCGAATTTTGTTGATTTACGTATACGTACATTTAATAGGGTAATGTGTAACGTCCATCTTTAAAAATGAGTTATTTAATTTTGATGTAATAAAGCGTTATAGGTGTTTTCAACAATGTACGAAGAATTTTTCGTATTTCTTCATGTATAAAACTTTTCTTTCATTTTAGGAACACGAAACAGCTAAAAAGATAAAGGGAGAAAGAAGTTTTATGAAGATCATAAGATCATTGATCTTTTTATAAATGCCAGGGATCCCACAGTTTATTAAAATTATTAATTAAAAGATTACAAACAAATTGTGAACATCCAAAATTAAACACTTTAAGAGAAATTTGATCAAAGAATGTGTACAAAACATGAAATCGCAAAGAAAAGTAGAAATTTAGTATCGTCGTATAATTAATGAATAATACTTAGTCAGGGCGAGTATATTTACTTCTACCTTGACCTCGTGACATTACCTTGAAAATGATAAGAACGAATTCCTTTTCCCTTCACTGATTCTAAGTCGTAGTATCGACCAGCCTCTTTGAAAGACGCGTTTCCACAATGCCTTTCTAATTGTTGAGTGCTGTATGCGATATGGCAACACATTGGCGCAGACGTTGCTACGTCTGGATTCCTTTGAGAATGAAAATTATCAAGAAAAATAAAAAATTCAATGTTGCTTCTACATCCGGATAGTACGATAAATATCTCTTGAAATCGGTATCTTTGTCTTTAAAGATGAGTTTGCATTCTTCCTCCAAAGAGAAACACTGACATTGATTTGATTATCATTTGATTATATGATATTGATTATAGGATTTGCTTTAGTTGTGTCTTTTATATTATATTCGAAACTTAAAACATATTCGGCCATTGGTGTTAGTAATCTCAAAAAAATAAATTTTATTTGTTGGAAATATTTTGCTTTGTTTCCGGTTGTGTGATAGTGTTTCTTTAACATTTAACATTGAGGGCCAACGTTAAAACAAGGTTTTATTTGTAAATTCTAAAGTAAATTTCACAGAATATGTTAATAACATCATCGCTTTTGTTTTCACTTTTCAATCTATGGTCTTAATAAGTATGATTTATATATGATTCGTAAAGAGCAATGAAATACACCGCACTTTCGAACTCCTCATAAATGTATAAACATCCTAATTACTGTATTAAAGAATATAAACAACCAACTGAATAGCAGCCAGATGTACATGTATTCCCAAAGAGATACTTGCTTTTTGTATATCTTGAAAAACTCCCTTATTTCGCTAGAATAAAACCGATATTGATCGATATTCTTAGGTCCACAGCAATACGATGACAAACATACATGACACATGCCAAAATCAGATATATATTTCGATGCGTCTGGTGACGTCATTTTTCGTAGTACTGACGTCGATACTGCAGCTGGCTGTCGTTAGAAAGGAAAGAGCCGAGAAATGGATTGCTGAAGGAGCGATTCGAGTGGTTCACGGCATTCGGCTATTCCCAGTGGTGTTGCAGGCCCAATGACCTGATTGTCGAGGTAAAAAGAAGCTGCTCTCGATGGTTCGTTACCACGAACCGCCCCTCTCCGTCCCCCGACAGCAGGATCATGTCTGCGGCATTTCCACCAGTAAAAAGTGTCTCGCCGTCTATTGCCACCACTTTCGAATTCATTTTTTCTATTCCTTCGAGACCATTCCATTCGTGTAACTCGCTCACCACTTCTAACAAATCGAGTCGACGAGCATGAATTGAAAATCTTGCACGATACTCGATGATACATGAATAAGGCAGCTTGGATGATTGATTACAGGATATGTGTAACGTTTCAGAAGCACGATACAGCTTTCTTCGGTAGGTGATTTTGTGTCATTGAAAAATACAATGGAATAGTTTGTAAAGTATTATCTTTAAATTTCAGTTTATGAGTATGATAAAATTTTAAGAGTGGGTGTAATCTTGGTTCTGATTTTCGGGAAAATTTCTTACCATGGAAAAGAGAAATGTTATCCGACGCAAATTATTCTTGAAATCTGAATTCTCTTAGCTAGAAGTATTACGGGGACTATTGTTGAAGTAATTACTTCAAGAAAAAGTCTACACTTTTTCTTTTGTATATCCGCGACCTGGAGATCGCTGTTACAAAGAAAATAGAATTTAGTGAAACAAAAAATTCGAAATAAGGAGAGGTCCATATTATTGTACCCTTGAATATAAATTTTATTTTGGCTTACAAGGTCTAGGAACAAAAGAGCTATAAATAGATTTCTGTTGCTGTTTCTTGTAGCCTTCAGCTAGAGCTACAAGATTAACTTTTTGGTAATGTCCTTTTTGCTATAAATATGATATCATAGTTTCTTCTATTGTATTGTAACACTGTAAGAGTGAGGATCTGGATCAGCATACACTATACCTGTACCTATACCTATACTTATACCTATACTTATTTCAATATATTTTCTATTACAAATTCATCCATTCGTTCCTCTATTGTCTCAAACTTTCAAGCTCATTCTCATATATGAGCTATTAGGAAGCAACTTTGATTAACTTAGTTAATTGAAAAGTATAAAAAAGTCATATTTCTACGGTTTAATACGTCAAAGATAGCAACTTTATCGTTTCTTCCGCATGCTGTTAAACACTTTTTCTTTTGGTGAAGATTTCCCGATAAGAGGAAGCGATTATCGGAACAAGATCATCCTATTATCGAATTTAAAGATCTATATTTGACTTGCTCGAGGATGAACGCGGGGATGAACGTTTAAAAAATCGAACTCGTTTCAAGTGGCAGAGGTGTTGCCAACTTCTCTTCGATCACCAACGGCGAAGCATTTACGTCAAAGACTGTATGACGTCACCCAATGAGCTAGAATGTCAGCTAAAAACGTTAAATGTTTAATATATTTTTTTTCTGCAAATAAAAGTCATTTGTCTTCGAAGAAAGGAAAGATCGGTATTGAAATGTTTTGCGTTCTAAAACCTTTCCTTTACAGAGAAAACATAGAGCTGCCCTTTTATATTGGTCGTTTTCGATCTTACTACAAAGCTACGAAGAATTTCGCATCAAGGGAACGTTGAATAATATCTTCCAAATATCAAGATGTAGAACAAATTTTAAGATTACACGTACTCTATTCCCTCGAATGATGATTACAAGTATAAGTGCCCTAATTATTTTCACAATTAGAAATTTTTCATTTTATGGTGGCAAATGATAATACTTACCAAAGTAAACATAAATTTCATTCTACCACAGTTTTCCTATTTTCATTTATATTGAAAGTTATACCTTGCATCTCCTTATAGAAATATATTTTCTATAAAATTTTATAAATTAGACATTATCTGTCTTCTAAACGTAGAATGGCAGGTTCTTACAAAGTAATCGCATGAAAAAAGTGTCTGTAAAACCAATGATATCTATCGATTATTAAAATCAATAGTTTAAATAGATCAATAGATCAATAATCAAAAGATCAATAGATTTATATTAAAATCAATCACACTTTGAGAAATACCTGCTCATAAGACATTATAACTGTGACACGTACCTCTAATTATAAGAAAAAGACTCACAGAACGAGAATACCATAATATCTGCTATCTCCGAAAATATAAAGTTTGTCTTCACCTATAAATAGACAACTGGTACTTAGTGGATTAAGCATCGTGTTTTCAGCTATCCGATCAATAGATCTCTTACGTAATTCATTCTGTTTTCACGATCGTACCATTTTTCTCTTTTAATTATGCACTGCTCAAGTATATCAACTGCGTTGTAATTAATAAATCAAGTATCATTGGGGTCTCTTTAATTGTCACTCTTTGAATTAACAAGGATCAATTTCGTAATATTTCCCTGAAATATTAAGGCATGATCTTCTCATTCTACGGTCGAAGTTCGATCTTGAGGAAAGTAATGAATACATATCCTAACGTCCCACGAACGCGAAATCGCTTCTGTCAGTCGACAGCATAAAATGAATATGTATATATTTCTTCGTGTAGGACGTACGTTTTCGTAGTATATTTATATAACTTCATTTCATCTTTATATCAAAGGTAATATCTCAAAATCTGCCAAATGTTTAGAGATTACACGATGTCGATGAACGAAACAATGACCATTATTATATCAGAAAGAGCTTTCTCCTTTTAATCAATTAAAGTTTGATCGAATTGGTGAACAATAATCCAGATGAATATTTATAGATGAATGGACAAATTATCACAAGGTAAACACCGAGATAGCAGTGCCTCGTTCGTGTTCCGTTAGATCTAACAACAATACTACGGACGCAGTTCATACCGAAAATTAAGCCTCGAGTATGAAAATTGAACGATCGTTGAAATAACGATTGACATGTAACGTCGCCCAGAAGCCAGGAATCCCGCCGACCTCAGGATATGCATATAACACCTGGTCATGCGATAGCAGTGAGAATAGACAGTAGCCGGATTCCCACCCGTGAGATATATGAAGAGGTAAAGAGATATATGAGATATATGAGGAGGTAAAGATCCCAGTCCTTTAGTCAGTAAGTCAGTCTGTATTTTGCTATTGAAGTGTAACTTCTCCTTGTGAATAAAGTATACGAACGGGCTATTGTTCATTCTCCTTTTTTTTATATTATATATATATTACCTCGTCATTTATTACGTGACAGACACAACGACGACCAAAAAGGCGATCATTGATGTAACGACGATCGATCGATGTTACGATATTTAACGAAGCAAATATTATCGATGAACGTTGACACATAGCATGGTCAAAGAAGATTAGGGAGAATGGGTTGGAAGATCCTGCGGTCGAGTGTAAGTACACGATGACACACGTCGTGCCATCGGTAGTGTTTTTGCGATGTCAGCTGAGGTACTCTTGGCCAAGGCACATTGAGAAGTACGGTCGGATGTGGAGGGACACCGGTCGGGCTTAGCTTGCCGTTGGAGAAGCGTTTCGAGGCAGCTGGAGACGATGCACGATAAGCACGCCCGTTCCTCTTTCTTCTGACCTCACGCCGTTTTTCATCCCCCTCCCTCACCCCGCCGAGCCGAAACTCTACCCCACCGACCGCCTGTCTATTATTTTCGACCGATTGCCAATTGTCGTGCAACTGCCGACGTAGCTGCTCCTGCTGGAGAATTCTGGTTCGCCGGAGAAAGGTAACAGGACTCCTGGAACTATCGTTGCCACTCGATCCTCCAATTTTCGCTTTTCGTCGCTCAACATTCTATCTTTTTTCCTCTCTCTCTCTCTCTCTCTCTCTCTCTCTCTCTCTCTCTCTCTCTCTCTCTCTCTCTCTCTCTCTCTCTCTCTCTCTCTCTCTCTCTCTCTCTCTCTCTCTCTCTCTCTCTCTCTCTCTCTCTCTCTCTCTCTCTCTCTCTCTCTCTCTCTCTCTCTCTCTCTCTCTCTCTCTCTCTCTCTCTCTCTCTCTCTCTCTCTCTCTCTCTCTCTCTCTCTCTCTCTCTCTCTCTCTCTCTCTCTCTCTCTCTCTCTCTCTCTCTCTCTCTCTCTCTCTCTCTCTCTCTCTCTCTCTCTCTCTCTCTCTCTGACTTCATTCAGTGACGTACCTGAAGTGGATTTTAGAAGAGACAGATCTATACAGTGGCTATAAAAAGTACCTTTTCACCATTATATTTTCCATATATTTTAGCATTTACATACTAATTGATTAAACCGTCTACCAAACTTCGTATCGATAGTACTCTTATGACTACAAAAATTTATGCATTACGAAAGTATACAGAACTTGATAAAAAATAATGCTTCACGAAAGAAACGTATATGTAAATACTTTTTGTAGCTACTGGATTTTTAAGAGATAACGCTATGAGATTGCATGGTTGATACAAAGTATCGTAATCGCTTTGTTTCGTTCTATGTGTAATATGTTGAATATTCTGTTGATTTGTTCCCTATGGATTGCTTTGCGACTATATCTCAATCTTTATACAGAACATGCTCTCTTTGTCAAAATTAAGGTACTATAAGTAATTGTTGACACTGAAATACAAGACTGATCGTGGTAATTTACTAGAGAATTATGACATACCAATTATCGGAACTACTTAAAGGAAAACATTTCGGAGAAAAGCAATAATTGATCGACGATCGAATTAATAATCGGCGATGGCCGATGACGCGCAAGATCACCCCGTTTTCTCGAGATTTCGAGGTCGATCACGTCCTCGTCCCAGAAACCCAGGGATGAGGATGCACTCTCCGTTTATCCCACGGAAAACGGCATACTCGGCTACTTGAATTAATTATTTCGGTGCGTCAAACATTTGACATTTTTTTAAGTGCTTATGCTTGTGAGCTTACATAATCAACAGAAACAATCTCGTAATAGTGATTCAACTTTTTCTATCATAATCTGTCTGTGCTTAAATCTTTCAAGTTTGTTGGTTATGCTACTATTTTTCATTTATTTTATTTTCGGTTTAAGCATATCAAAATATATTTTTGTCAAATTTATATTTCACAATGAAATAGTAAATGTCCTATCAATCATGCAAAACGATAAAAATGCTAACAATCGAGATCACGCGTTAAATTTTTTTAACCATTTTTTATTACCTGTAACTATGTTCTCGGATGTCTTCGCTATATAAGCTTCCTGAAAAGACGTGTTTCAAAAATGGAAAGTTCGTGCTTATCGTAAGTTTGGTAAAGAAAAAAGAAATGCTTGATAATAGTAAATGCTTTAATACATACTTATCTTAAATAAAGTATTCGTATCTGAAATTGAACGAGAGCACTTAGTGTGAAGACCTGGAAATAGTGACACGAAATAAACAGACAATAAAAGTCCAAGCACACGACAACCCTGTTCAGCCTTAAGGATTTATAAAACACAATTTGCGCGCAATACAATCAGTTCATCCGACAAATTTATCGTGAAATTTCGATAATATTAACATCTAGAAAAAATAACAGAAATAAAAAGAATTCGCACTTCCTTCTTTTCTGTCTTCATTTTTAACCATTTTTAACACGATTCGATTCAAACTCGATCTTCCGAATATGCTTGTACAATTAGGAAAAAGATTGATGAATTCGTAAAAATTGTCCTCGTACAAATAGTCTCGCGTGTTTGATTAAACAGCCTACCCGTCTCTGAAACGAAATTACGAATGTTTGTCCGTGACATCCATTCTTCTTCCACTATTTCTGTCTCATTGCAACGAACTATCTCAGTTCGTTATACCGAAAGATAAATATTTCCACGAACATCGAGTGTGATTGTGTCTTACGCAATTGTACCATTAAAAAAGTGTACGTGACCCTTCCAGATTTGAAAAACCTGATCAACATCGATACGATGATCGAGGGAATATCGTTCAAAAATTCCAGCATAATTGCGAGTGTTTATATATTTATAGGAAATTTAAAGATGAAAAAATACACACAATATACAAAAATGTATAAAATATTCAAAGTAAGGTATTCGTTATGATATAATAACTTCTTTATGATATTACTTTCCATTTCTTTAGTTACGTTCGTGTATTATATAAACATTTGCCCTCTAATAGTTAGATAAATGAAATTCTCCTTGCGTATAATGGACACAGTATGAAATTTATACTGAAAAGCAAACAAAAAGATAACAGTACAATAGATTACTATACGTATGATAGTCTGATGGTCCGATCTACCGAACAAATCTCAGGTGAAGATTCATGTCTGGAAGAATCGATAGACAAAATTATAACTTGCAGCGATGGTGCTAACAAACATTTATATTATCATACAAAGAAATGCGTATATTGTATTCTTAAATGTGTAAAACCAAAAAATTGACCGTCCAAGTGAAGATCCCCGTTTTCTTCTTGACTTTATCTTTGTACTCTGCAAGCGTATTACTATTATTAATTTGGTAACTCGTGTGTATTGAACGCTTCCTCCAAACATCGACATTCGTACCACCAAAAGACATGGAAATGCACGTTGATTTTAAACGACTCAAAATCTTAATTTTTGCTTCAATTATTTGAAGACGTTGATTTACAAGGGGAGGCAATTCGTCGATTGGTAGTACGAAAGATAAAAGCATACAGTGAATCTATTGAA